TTTACTGTTGCATGTCTTCTACGAAAAATCTGAACATGTAAGAAAAAAGAATAAGGAATGTAGTGCAAGTTGTTTTGCATGAATTCAACTCCAACAACAAAAAAATGACATACTTCTTGATTATAACTTATAATTTGAATTTCCTTACGATTTGATCTGAAAATGATTATTTCTTCCATCTATGGATCTTTGTTATTATTATTTCAAAATCCAATGAAATGATATTAAGATTCGAAAATCCAAATTATATCTCCAAACCATACGGTAGAAGATAATGAAACCATCCGAATGTACCACTGTAAAATCATACCAATTAGGATTAATTGGTTAAAAGAGAAAAAAATAAGCACAATTGGAAACATGATACTAGCAACTAAGCCTGCACATTACGGGCAAAAGATTGAGAAATAGCGGATAATGTTGTAGCACGATCGGGTAAAAGTAATACATGTAGTAAGTAAACATTACTACCCGAACGAATAATATTGATTATAAAAATCGCCATTTAAACGGATAATAATGGATAATCATCTATATATAATAGCAAATCCGTTTTTGAGAATGAATGACGTCAGCATTTTTTTATAAAAAAAAAAATCTCATCCAACGGTTTAGATTAATTTGTTTCATAATTTTAACGGATGAAATTTAGTTTAAATAAAAGGATTTGATGTCATCATTCATAATCTCCTTTCAATGCAGCGTTTCTCTCTCACTCTCACTAAGATATTCTAGATTTATATCTCGCGCATATTTTAGTTTTAAATTTTTTAAAAAATAAATATTTGAATATAATATAACCATTTCAATTAAAATGAAAAATTCCAAAAAATCAATATGAACATCTATATAAATACAAACTTATTTTAGCAACCAATTAGTACATAAATATTTTTCATGATAAATTTTTTTTTTTCAAAAACCAATGAATAATTAAGCGCCACGTGGTTATTAAAATCAGGTGAACCTAATAGAAAAAGAAACTGGTATTGACAGTCATCCCACGATCCTTTATATCAGAGAGATAGTCCCTCCCTATTGCTGTCCCGTGAGAACATCTCTCTAGAGACTTGAATGTTGATAAGTGACTCAATCTTATAGTGAATGACATCAAAAATATTTTACCTTCATCTTGTGTATATATATTTCTAAGCTTAGTAAAATTCTCTTAAACAGTTATTCACAATTATTTTTGTTCATATTCTAAGGTCGCAACAAAAAGAAACTTAAATTAGTTCTTTAAATAGGTTGACAAATAAAGGAGTTAAGATAATGTTATAAGTTAAATAAGTGGTTAAAAATGAAGTTGGATTAAATGTAAAATTTTGTTTTTATTGAGGTACAAACCTTTTAATAAAAAACAAATTTTCATATTTTATGAAATATACAACTCCTAATAGTAATATGTATATATTTTTTTTCTTTTAACATTTTAGAAATTTGGTTACGTCAATCTATTTTTNCTAACNGTTTGAACTATAAAATTC